AAAAAAAAATCATCAAAATCGGTTCACAAACGCCAGAGCAATCGCGTAACGTACACAAAAAAAAATACATTAGAATTGAGAAATTCCTCCTTTTTTTAAGTCGGTTAACAAAAGTTATTGCAGTGCCTGGTACCGTCTGTACCAGTGAAGTACTTTATTTGGAATATAAAGGAAAATTAGTATTTGTGTCTGTACTTGTTACGTACGAAAAAGCATATAAATGATCAACAGTAAAAAATGCTCTGGTAGATTTCAATGGGCCGTATTCGATTTAAAGTGCTACTCAAAAATGTAGTCGCTTTTTTTTCATTTTCGTTTTACGTCTGGTGTATTGTGGATTCCAACACTTTTATGAACTAAATGGTTAGTTCAAATACGAAGATCGAGGACGTTTCGATTGGTTTGTAAACAAGCGAACGTGATCGTTCGCGTTGCAGTGCAATAAAAGGACGCGACCGCGCTGTTGATGTTTCCGCTGTAATTGGAATGAAAAGCTCTCGGGAATCTGGTGTTCAAATAAATAAATTGTTATACGTATATGCATTGTTAAATAAACCGGAGTAAACAAACACTGGAGTACAATGTACAGTCATAACTCTATATTGTGAATTTTTCTGAATTTGGAGATTTATACTCCGTTTTGAAAGATCTATCATGAACGATTTCGTTGTCATCATCATCATTTCAGCCAACGTCCGCTGCTGAATATAGGCCTCCCTCAAAGTATGCCACAGGGACCTGGCCTGCGCCGCTTGCATCCAGCAGATTCTCGCAATCTTAACCAGGTCACCTTGTGGGTGGCGTGCCCACGCTGCGTCTTACGGTACGCGGTCGCCACTCGAGAACTCTTCAACCCCATCGCCACTCTGTTCTTAGCGCAATGTACCTTGTCCTCTGCCACTTTCACTGCCAGTTTTGCAATTATTTGGGCTATGTCGGTTACTCTGGTTCCCTTGAGAATATCCTCATTACTGATACAATCTCGTCAATCAGTGAAACTTCGAGCATTTTTTTTTTACCTTCAGCCTTAGTATGAGGCCCATAGTGAGCCACCACGTCTCAGTGCCGTAAATCATTACTGGCTACACACACTTGTGACACTGTGGTGTTTTGAAGAAAGATATGGTGAAACTTCCTGTACGCTGCCCAGGCAAGTCGGATTCGACGACTGACCTTGAAGTTGGACCTACCTAACTGGATAATTTGTCCCTCGCATAAATAATCGTCAACAACTTCGAGTGTAGAGATTTATAGTATGAAACAAAAATTCTTAATATATGGTCCGTTCTTGTGTGGCTCTAATAACCCGATTTATGCATTCCTGTATCAATCAGCTGGTTTATAGAATACTTGTTCTTACTTGTTGAGTACGATTGAGCGTCGAATGAGATAAACGAGTTTATGCATGTTTGTTTTATTCCTGTCGCTGCGTGCTGCTTATGCAATCCTATATAAACAACGTAACATTTATTTTATTTTCATTTGCGGGTTCGCGCGTAATAGATAAGCAGTACTTAAGTTCAACACTCAAAACAAAACAATGTTGGAAGTAAAAAAGAAGTGACGGCAATACTGTGCGGAATATATTAGATTCGGATTCATTGAAAATCTCACAAACCCATTGTCGCATTTGTGCCTTCTATGTCTAAAAACATTTTCGAATGAAGCAATGAAACCTTCAAGACTGCAAGATCATTTGAATAAAATGCATCCAGATAAGAAAGACAAGAATGTAGCATATTTTCAGGACCTAGAGAGGAAGCATATACTCAGCCAAGTGTAACAAAACTCTTTTTGGCGGCTGCTAAGTAAGATGACGACGGACTTCGAGCTTCGTACAATATCTCTTTGTTAATTGCTCGAAAAGGCAAACCACACAACATCGGAGAAGAGTTAATTTTGCCAGCAATAAAGGAAGTAATAACTACTGTGCTTCAGAAACCGGCCGCAGATATTATCCGAAAAAATCCTTTGAGTAATAATTCTGTGTAAAGACGAATTGATGAAATGGCTGAAAACATTGAAGAATCATTGTGCAATCATCTGAGGACTAGTCAATTCTCAATTCAGCTCGATGAGTCCACTTTGCCAACTAATGAAGCATTGTTGCTGTCTTACGTGAGGTTTATTAAAGATGAGAAAATATGTGAAGAACTATTGTTTGCTAGAAACTTAGAGGCCGATACAAAAGGCGAAACCATATTCAATACATTGGAAAAGTTTTGTGATGAGAAAGAGATTCCCTTGAAAAATATTATATCAGTTGCTACGGATGGCGCTTCGGCTACGACAGGGTGCCATAAAGGCTTCATAGCGTACTTAAAAAATAAAATTCCAGATGTCCTTGCTGTACATTGCGTTATTCGTAGACAACATTTGGTTGCTAGAAATTCAAGTGAACGACTATTTCGATCACTGCAATATGTCCTCAAAGCAGTAAATAAAATCCGTTACAGCTCTTTGAATGATAGATTATTTCATCAGCTTTGTGTTACTGATGACGAAGATTTCAACCGTTTATTGTTTCATACTGAAGTTCGTTGGCTATCAAGAGGCAATTGTCTGACTCGATTTTACAACCTGTTAGACTCTGTGATTGGAGTTCTTGGAAACTGAAGATACAGAATTGCGCAACAAGCTCATTACATCAAAGAGTGATATAACTTATACGACAGACCTGTATAAATTGTTCAACGACATGAATCTCCAACTGTAAGGCGATGAACTAAATTTAATTAAAACCAAAAATGTCGTTGCTGCTTTCGCAGCCAAACTGATTCTACACAAAAAGAATACGGGCAGACGTGAGATTCACAATTTCCCGAATTTATCAGTATTCTGCAGTAAGAACGACTTGTTTCCTACTCCCAACATTTGAAAAACCTCCACATTGACTTCACCGAACGATACCAGGACATTTTGAACTTGGAAATACTAAACTGGGTGTTGGATCTGTTTTCAAATGTTAACACAGCAATATTATCTCAGCTGGAAGAAGAACTTATAGAATTGACAACGAACGAGGAAATAAAAATCAAGTTCAAAAATAGCTACCAAGAATTTTCGCTACAAAAACCGATCCTGCAATTGTACCCTGGATTGTGGTCAATCGTTCAACGATTCTTGATAGCATTCCCATCGTCATATTTGTGTGAACGTGGTTTTAGTGCTGTGACAATTATGCTTACTAAAAAGAGAAATCGTTTGCAAAATACCGAACGTGGTGACACAAATTTATTAAACAGCATCAGATTAATTCCTCACATTAGTGTTTATATTAGAATCGATTATGTTTGTTTTATTTTGTATAAAAGATACTCTGTCTCAATTCTATAAAGTTGTATTTCAATAATCATTCTTATTAGCAGGTGTAGCCCGTAAGAGTTAACTTGAGATCTGAGCGCCGTTGTGTACTCCCTACTGCGCTCAGGTCTCAAGTTAACTCTTGCGGGTTATAGTAAAAGTCTCGTTTAGAATGAATGTTTAGTCTCCGCTAATATAGCTCACAATAATTAATTTAATTTGAAGTTATAGTGGTTTTTAAGTAGGTGAAAAAGTGAGGGCGCTAAAAATAATTTATTCTCAAAGTGGGCAGTAGACAAAATAAGTTTGGGAACAGGGGCTAAACTTTGCTGAGGCAAAATTTTGACGACCTCTGTGGTCAAGTTGCTTGCGCACCGGGCTTTATGGTGTCACCATCTTTGAGGTCTTTGAAGTCAATGTAGAAAAACTAACTTTTCTACATTGTCTTGGAACTGGGTGTTTGTGGTACCGTCGTTGTTTCCGATTTCCATAACACTAGTGCTTTAGTTACTTACTTTGGGATCAGAGCAACGTATGTGATGTTGTTTAATATTTATATTTATTCGGTTGGGTATCGCTGTAAATGTCAGCGGCCGACACTCAAGTGAATGAATTCGCTTTTATCTTATCTTATCAATATATTAGCAGTCATTTCACGGCAGTTATTGGGTAAAAGGTTATTCATAAGTAATAGTAAAACCGAATGAATGAATGAATCAATGAATGAATTGAATATTCTTTATTGCACATAAAAAATTATAAAGATAACACAGAACAGTAACCTAAGTATCACAGAGTAAGCCACAGTACAATTTCTTCCAGGCAACCTTAGGATAGAAACTTAACAGTTGGAATGGGGGATGCAACCAAAAAATACCTTGTAATGAAAGTGGTTTTTTAAATATATAATCACATATCAATGAAGATGGGGCTTCCATGTAAGACACAGATCTAAAATTACCCCCAATTTCTTCAACTTTGTCTAAATACGGAATGCGAACACCATCTAAAATCGCAGGTGGTAAAGGTAAGGTACATACGAGATACGTTGTGTTTTTGATGAGTAAACCAAAAGACCGACTCCAGACAGACAGACAGATTGAAGGAAGAACAGACTGACGTCATTGACGGCAAATGATAAGTCGTTAAGAGACGACTGGATGTAAATTTGGAGGTCATCAGCATAAAGATGAAGAAAGAAGAGAGAGAGTGTGTAACAGAGTCAATAAATATAGAAAATAAGAAAGAGGAGAAAGGATACCGAGACACGTTTGTTTATGTTATTTCCTGAAGCAGTTACGTCATGGTGTTGAGCTAGTGTTAGTTTTACATATCTTTAGGGATTTTTTTAAACCGTGTTGCAAAAAGTAACTTTAACTTAGATAAATTAAAATGACCTTTTATTACTTTACCTGAGACCATGTTATACTAAATACTATGTAAGTACTACTTAATTTTACTTTTGGCGTATTGTACTAATTTGTATACTTTTATGTTATAGTTATCTAATTTCAGATTAATAAATAATTATTTACAATGTAGAATTCACATTGCTTACAGGGTGCATAGCTAATTTAAGATCTATGGTACAAAATGTATGCGGAAAAACGTTTTGAATTGAATGTTCACAAGAACGCGAATTTATTTTTGTTTTTAATTTGTTATTGAAAACAGAAGTAAAATTGTAAAGTACTTACAACGCTTTGACCGCTGCGGCTGCGCAGGCTGAGGCGCATCTTCCAGTCACGCTTGGAGGACGACCCGCTCTCCGAGCTAAAGGAGCGTTTCATGGGTAGCGCCATGCCCGCGGAGCTGGCGCGGCCGAGCGGCGGAGGCGCGCGAGACGCACGGCGGCCGCGGCCGCCCGGCGATGGCGCTTGGGGTTGAGCCATGACAGCGACGACTCACCCGACTGCGGGCCGGGGCCGCCGCGCGGCAGACATCTATACGTACTATCGGCACTAGGCTACGCACGATATTTCGTTCACGGTAGGCACACTATGTCCAACTCATCACTTTAAATTTATGATATAACTTACCAGGGTCAATACGTCATTGGCACTAACATTAACACTAAAAGGAAAACTAACCTATGGTAACATATTATAACGCTGATTATAACATGACTGTACACTAAATATTATTATAGTTAAGTAGTAAACCACTATTATTAAGTCACTACATTGTCACTTCACTAAGCAGAAAGGTTGATGGGAAAAAAGAAAGAGAGCGATTATTGCGGTGCAAGCGCAGCGACTGCGGCTCCTCACCTGTAACAATAACTTACGCTTTATGGATCTGTGTGATATCAAACAAAATTCATGTAGACTCAGGTTAGATGCTGGACTAATATGAAACGCGATTCCTTTAAAATATTGCAGATTATTTGTGGGTACGATCATAGGCCGATTTTGGGTCTCAGATGGGTTCTATTATGTATGAACATACCTAGCGGTAAAAAATATATATAGCGGTTCCCAGAAACCATACTGATCCTACTAGGGAGGAATGGAGAATGTAACTTTCTTGCTTTCAATATAATATTCACAGGTATATTGCCGTCAGCAATAATACTACAACCCCTATGATAGTTACTACCAAGCACATCTTGCCATGATCAAATAGACTGTGTTTTTATCGCAGTTCAAGGAGATTAAATGACTTACGAGTAAATATAAATTGTATTTAAGTACCGTGCAATGAAAAATAAATTAAATATGGCATGTTGTACTTTTACCTTTTCGTCAACATTAGAACACCACAAAGAGCTACTCCGTGCCGCCGCTAAAAGTCACTGAGACCCGAATAAAATATTTAACGATGAAAAACCTTTTTTTTAAGTATGAAATGTACATTTGATAGAATAGACGATTTAAACATTTGGAGGTGACGTGACCATAATGGAAGAGGCTTTGCCAGTGGCGGATTATAGCGGGCAACATTTCATAGGCATTAATATAAATGACACTGAGCACACTCCAATCATCTGCCAGTACAGTGGCACGTCCTTCTGTAGAGTTAGACATGACCCAAGCACTTGACACGTGTGATTCCTGTTCACGTCGGGTGAGGAATTTCGCGAAGTTACCTTCGCCACCGCCTCCCGCGCCCCCTGCCCCACTTGGCGACAAAGTAGCGCCGCAACTGAAGCCGCGTGACGTGCTTATTTACGGCGCCACAGTATACCTAACACGGCGCCGCCGCGACCACTATTACTATTTTATTATCGCGCACTAAGCGGCTCTGCAAATACTACGACAGTTATTATGTTACACCCGTAAGTATCGACCACGGTAATGACAATGTCATCAGACGATGCCAATAATTAATGACATCTAATGAAAATTTTGGTGTTCACCAGTGTAAATTGTAAAAAGTAGATGCGCATGGAGGAAATAAACTCCAATCAGCCTAAGGGCGTATTTATTCGACACGAATTACATTGCGCTCTCGCCGTCCGGAGACCGTGTGGCCGCCGCGCACCTTGCGCGTGTCATGGCAAAATACGCTCTATTTATTTAGCGTTTACGTTTTAACTTAAATGAGCATCCTGAGCGCGCGGGCGAGAGTGGCTTGTCTTTTGGTCTACACGACAGCCGGAACAATACAAACCACCGAGGTATTTTATTGTTGTTGTCTATAGTAAATAGAATTCATATTTACCAATAATTTACGTGAAAGCGTGGTAACTGGGCGGTCACCGCGCAACAACTTTCGCGTCGTGTAACTGGACGGTAACACTTACGCCTGCGTGTACCTCTAAAGTTGAAAATGTATGCATTTTGGTCGAAACGTGCGGAATATGTAGACGGGACAAGTGGAGCCGCACGGTACGATATTTGTATCAAGCAATTAAGATAAAAACCTCGTCAAATTAAGTTAATGATTATGTTAGGCAAGTTAAATTACTTTCTGAAATTGGAAATTAATTACTTCTAACAAGTTCGAGCGAGACATGGCGTGAACTGACATTTGCGATACCCACAGACCACATAATGGCGACATTGCTATGTTGAGATTCTAATTCCTAACTTACTACAAAAGTAAAACTCCTAATTTTTGAGAGGTCCGTGTAAAGGTATAATAACAATATTACACTGCACTGGTATCGCAGTATATTATTGAAAATATAATTTATTTAGATAATATCCGTTTTCGTCATAAAAAAATAAACTATTTATTCTTGATAGTCGTTTCCACAAAGTCACAAATTTATTACAGTGCATACTTTTTTATAATAAGATTCCTGTTCATGTTCAAATTTACGACGTCAAATTGAAGACGTCAATGCACTTTATACAAAAGGTTATTTATTACATTATATTGTATATACGAGTCCGGGTTACTGGGATGACAAAAATATGGAAGTTACCCGTTTAGCTTTGTTAAGTCGTTATCACACCTATACCTTTAACTCATATACAGGGTGTAAATTTGAGACGGGGCAGCAAGGCCAGCTACCTTAATCGTTGTAGTTACAGGAAAACGGTTCTAGAAGACTATCCATGAATTTTGAAGATATTTTGATTGGCATTCACAGATTTTGAAAAAAATAATACAGTCAGCAAGATAAAGGCAATTTTTACAAAACTTTTTTTCGGAAAAACCTTTTTACCATACATTTTGTAGAGACATTTAGTAATCGGTTATTCTAGGTAGTTATTCCGCAAAGAGCAAGTAGCGGCTGAAATTCTACTCGGATGCATTCCATTGAAAATTACTGAAAGTGCGTCTTTCAATTCTTGAACACTGTTGTGTCTTTTTTTTAAATATCTTTTTTTTACATAGCCCCAAAGAAAAAATCAGGACAGCACGGTGGCCATTTGATAGAACCATGTGTTTCAATTCATTTGTTTCCACACTTGAGAACATTTTTATTAAAAATCGTCTTAAAAGTGATAATTCTCTATTAATTAAACAAAACAAAGCTGTTCCAAATTTAAAAAAATAGTGATATGATTATAATTTGGTTTTACTTAAGTCTTATTTGTAGAGTAGTGGCCAGTATCGTTTCTAACAAAAACTTTCATATAAAATGTGTGGTAAAAGGTTTTTTGCAATTTCTGACATTTCGAGTACTCTTACCTCAGTTGGTACCTTTTTTTCTAATAAGGGAATTTTGCCTTTCGACTCAGCTAGCATTTATTGGTTATCTATAATATAAAGATATTTTGAATTTCTTTCACATGTAGAGGTTATATTAAAAGTTGGGAATCAGAGTCCTCATATTATTGTTAAATGAACTCATTCGTCAACTCAGGAAACAACACAACGGTAGGTACCTACAGAAATGTCACTTAAACTTTGTTTACGAGTTGGTTTAATTTAGATTAGGCAGTTTCACCAAAGCAAATTTACTTTTTCAACCGATTACAAAGAAACTTTGCCACTCACAAATCGCAGATTGGTGTCTTTTTAATAACCGACAGATTTTGGTGATTAGATCGATCGAATGTTAAACGATTATTCCAAACTGTTTTGTGATATGGAACTACCAATGGTTACTCTTTTAGGACCACTACGAAAAGGAGACATAAGTATTTAATTCATGATGAATGAGATATTCGGTATTTAACTTGGGCTTGCCAAAAAGTAAGAAAGCCTACCATCTTCATGTACAGGGTCAAGAGCACGTCAAGCTTGACACAAGATTTAAATCCAAAACTGTGCCGCTTACGATAAGAATGGTCCAAAGTTCAAAGTGTCAAGCTTGACGTGCTCTTAACTGTACTAGGTAATCGCCGTCGTGAAAATGTTAGTGATTTTCAAAGTCAGCTCTAAGTAGGTATGTAGACGCCAAGGAGCAGAGCGACTAGACGAAGTTTCCGACGTCGCACCCGGCTGCCCAGCTGTGCGGCTTTCCGGCCGCCAATCACATGTCACAAACAACACTCGCATTTTCCGTGTGTATAGAGTAAGGCTATCTCAGCTAGTAGCAATAGCTGGTTGATTGTGTGTATGCTGGTCTTTTCAGTAGAATTTATGTCTACAGCATCGGGGTGCGGGTGGACCGGATCTCCTCACACCCGAACTACTTACTACCTGTCGTCCCTTATCACCTTAAATAACAGATTATGACAAGTCCACGTACATGAATTGCGCGATACTGTTGATGACGGTTATCAACGCCTACGTCCATCGCGAGCCACCCTTAACTCATTATGCATACAGAAAGTCCCCCACGGAGTTTCGTCACAAAGTAATTAACACACCATGAAGACATTGTGATCATTTAAAAGGAGCGCAAATACAGTATCTACTTTACATTTCGGATTTCATTACACCAATCAATTACTTTAAATCGCTGACAGACCGACAGGCGAGGTCTAGTATTTTAGTAATTTTAAAGGAAGTAACTAGTTTTACATCTGTGATAAACTGTCAGCCGTATCATTTGCAAAAAAATGCACGGCAATCGGTTACTAAACGGGTTGCGGCGTGTGTCAGTTCATCTATTGTTGACAATCATACCGAGTTATTAAATCAATGTAAATACCAATGATATACCACCAGGTTTGACGTCGTTAGCAGAATTTCATTGATATGTGAATACGCAGCATCAGAATCATTTAATTTTTATTACTGTATTTTTGGGTTTCTTCTGCGTGTTTAAGGCTCCTGGTTATTTATCTGCAAGTAAACTATGTATGGTAATTACTAAATCGCAACAAGCTTATATATCATACTGTCGCAAAAGATAAGTAGAAAAGGTTTTGTAAACTGATTACAGCTTTTTGTTATACGTTTTTTTATTTTAATTTTTACTTCAATAAAAATACTGTATTTTGCTCATATATTTTCCTTTCAGTGATATTAGTAATAGTCGTCTAAACGAAAATAACTGTAGTATAATATAAAATTATCAAGTAATTTAAGTTTGAATGAAACAAGAAAAAAAAATGCGATGCTATTACCTTCATCATTATAGGAAACAAATTATCAAGTAAAAAAAAGTTACTGCCTCCGTGGCCGAACCGTTATCATGATTGACTGCCACGCAGAGGTCACGGTTTCGATTCCCGGGCCGAGAGAAATATTTGTATGGCCTACATTTATATCTCTCGTGAGTTTGGGTGTAATTTATGGTTGTCTATTTGCGTGTCCATGGCACTCACGGTATTCCCCAGTATGGGGCTATGAATGTGTGCGTTATTATTACTATTATAATTATTATTAACTGATCAAAACCATCCCAAAGACCTCATACAGGTACACTTTTTACCATAGAGAAAGTCATGTCATAGAATTCTCATGGACAGTCTCGACTAAG